TGAACTCTGGGCCTGGGCGCTGTCCCTCAGCTCTTCAGCTCAAGGCGAGCGCTCTACCACTTGAGCCACAGCGCCACTTCTGGCTTTTTTCTTTTTACTTATGTGGTGCTGAGGAATCGAACTCAGGGCCTCATATATGCAAGGCAAGCGCTCTACCACTGACCACCTTCCCAGCCCCTCTGTGAGACTCCTATCTCCAATAAACTACCAGAAAACCGGAAGTGGCGTTGTAGCTCAAGTGGTAGAGTGCTAGCCTTGAGCTGAAGAGCTGAGGGACAGTGCCCAGGCCCAGTGTTCAAGCCCCACAACCAAAACAAACAAACAAACAAAAACAAACAAACAATCCACTAAGGAAATATTTAGAGTAATTAATTAGAAAATTAGAACCATTCCCTGGTTCTCACCATTGTCATTATAGCATGTAATTACTTATATAATTTTTTTTCCTTCTTTTTGAGTTTATGATGAGACATAGCTTCACTACATAGCCCAGGGTGTCTAGAACTAACAATCCTCCCATGAATAGAAATTACATGAATCACATGAGTATACTGCCATGCCTAGCTTATAAGTGTATATATGTGTGTGACTGTGTATGTGTGTGTATGTGTGTGTGTGCTGCTAGTACTAGGCTTGGTTGATGTTCCTAAGCCTTTTCAAGTTCAAGGCTGACACAAACTGAAAAAGCCTGATGGACTGGGAAGGTGGCTCAGTGGTAGAGTGCTTGCCTTGCATGCATGAGGCCCTGGGTTCCATTCCTCAGCACCACATAAGCAGGAAAAAAAAGCTGGAAGTGGCACTGTGGCTCAAGTGGTACAGCGCTGGCCTTGAGCTGAAGAGCTGGGGGACAGCGCCTAGGTCCAGAATTCAGACCCACAACTGGACCCCCCCCTCCAAAAAAAGAAAAAGCTTGAGCCACAGTCCATTTTCTGCTTTTTGGTGGTTAATTAGAGAAGAGTTTCATGAGACTTCTTGCCCAGGCTGGCTTCAAACTGCCTTCCTTAGATCTCAAACTTATAAGTAGCTAGGATTACAGATATGAGCCATCAGGGCCCTACATAACTATACCTTAATTAGACTGCTTGAACCATGTATTAATTATGCATCTAAATGTGGGATAATATGTTTCAGAAAATGCATAAACTAGAGCTGGATGTTGGTAGTTAATATCTGTGATCCTAGTTACCCAGTAGAGGCTGAGATCTGAAGATTCTAGTACAATTCATTTGGAGAAGAAAAGTATGAAACACTCCATTTCCAGTTAACCAGCAAAAAAGTTGGAAGTTCAAATGGAATAGTTCCAGGCATGAGCAAGAATGCTGAGAGTAAAAAGCTCTGAATTCTAGCCTCAGGATTGTGAAGAAGAAAGAAGAAGAAGAAGGAGAAGGAGAAGGAGAAGGAGAAGGAGAAGGAGAAGGAGAAGGAGAAGAAGAAGAAGAAGAAGAAGAAGAAGAAGAAGAAGAAGAAGGAGAAGAAGAAAAGGAGAAGAAGACGAAGAAGAAGACGAAGAAGAAGACGAAGAAGAAGAAGGAGGAGGAGGAGGAGAAGAAGGAGAAGGAGAAGAAGAAGGAGAAGGAGAAGAAGGAGAAGGAGAAGAAGGAGAAGGAGAAGGAGAAGGAGAAGCAGAAGGAGAAGGAGAAGGAGAAGCAGAAGGAGAAGGAGAAGAAGAAGGAGGAGGAGAAGGAGGAGGAGAAGGAGGAGAAGAAGAAGGAGAAGAAGATGGAGGAGGAGAAGAAGAAGAAGAGGAGGAGGAGGAGGAGGAAAAGGAGGAAGAAGAGGAGGAAGAAGAGAAAGAAGAGGAAGAAGAAGAAGTAGTAGTAGCAGTAGTGGTGGTGGAGGAAGAAGAAAAAAAGGAAGAGGAGGAGGAGGAGGAAAAAAAACTAAACTTTAATGTCTTCTTAACAATCTAGCCAGCCACCGTTTACTCATGCCAGTCATCCTAGCTAATCAGAAGACTAAGAGCTAAAGGAATGAGGTTCTAAGCCAGCCTTGGTGGATAAAACCAAAATACTCTTTTCTCAAATTAGCCAGCAAAGCGCAGAACTGGTAGTTACTAGACACTATGTTGAAAATGAACTATACAACTTGCGAATGGGATGGGAGGGAAAAACTGGGAGTGAGGGAAGTGGCAATATTGTCCAAAAAGAAATGTACTCTTTACCTGACTTATGTAACGATAAGTCCTCTGTACATCACCTTTATAATAATAATTTAATTTTTTTAAAAGACAAAATTGAAGGCATGGCTCAAGTAGTAGAGCACCAGCCAGGAGTGAAAAAAAGTCAAGCCAAATTTGAGGCACTGAGTACAAGCCCCAGTATTGCTCACTCCCTCAAAAAAAAAAATCTATGGGGGGAGCTGGGTAGTTGGCTCAGTGGTAGAGTGCTTGCCTTGCATGCATGAGGCCCTGGGTTCGATTCCTCAGCACCACAGAAGCAGAAAAAGCCAGAAGTGGCACTGTGGCTCAAGTGGTAGAGTACTAACTAGCCTTGAGCTGAAGAGCTGAGGGACAGCGCCCAGGCCCAGAGTTCAGGCCCCATGACCAGCAAAAAATAAATAAATAAATCTATCGGGGCTGGGAAGGTGGCTCAGTGGTAGAGCGCTTGCCTCGCATGCATGAGGCCCTGGGTTCAATTCCTCTAGCACCACATAAGCAGAAAAAGCCGGAAGTGGTGCTGTGGCAAAAGTGGTAGAGTGTTAGCCTTGAGCTGAAGAGCTGAGGGACAGAGCCCAGGCCCAGAGTTCAAACCCCATGACTGACAAAAAAAAAAAAAATTATCAAAGGAGGGGGTTAACAATGCTTGATAGGAAAAGGACTCATTACCTGCTTGTGTAACTGTAACCCCTCTGTACAGTCTTTACAATAAAAAATATATATTAAGAAAAAAATCTATCAATATCTTGCATATCTTCTATTACTCATGGTTATCATCATTCAAATCATATCCTAGTCTTGTATTACCTTAAATAATATTCTTTGCTGCATATTCTTTAACATTTATTTTTAAGAAATGATTTATTTCACATGTAGCTGCTCAAACCCAAGGTCTCTTTACTAAGTAGCTGCAAAGACTTTTGCAGGGTGAAGGCTCCTGGTGGATTTTAAGATTCTTCTGTGATTAGATAGTGGCAAAGCTTAGGTTTGTTGGGATTATTCTTCAGCAGCCAATCAGCCAGCCATATCTGTGGGAGAGAAAACCTCTTAAGTTAATAAACATTTACTTGAGACTCTTCTGGAGAATTGGGCAGATACCTGTGCTTTGATACTACTGACAATTCTTTTCATCCAGGCATGCAGTTCCACACCATAGAGACAAAAACCAGAAAGAGAAGGAATATATTCCTAGAGGTTCTCTTGACCCTGACATTTACGTTGATACAATTGGGGTTTCTGGGGGAGTGCCAAATGAATTTAAAGCCAGAAATAAAATGACAATAGTATTCCAGTTTTGGTGGGTCAATAAAAAATGTTGATTAGATTAATTATTTTCACTATAATTGGCAACTATACCAGAAACACAACCAAGGAAATAGCTAAACAATTGGACACTAACAGTCACATGGCCTGAAAAGAAAAAAACACCCAAAACAAAACAGGCTAACATTAGATCTGATACTGACAGAAAAAGGAGAGGTCTGTGTAGTAACTGGAGCACAATGTTGTACATTTATACCTGACACCATCACCCCAGGCGGGACCATAACTAAGGCACTGCAAAGCCTGCCCATGGTGGCTAATGGGTCAGCCAAAAAATTCAGGGAAAGATGAATACCTTCACCTACTTTAAGGAACAGTGGTTTGGAAGGTGGAAAGAAGTTATGGCATCTATCTTGACATCATTTGTGGAGTACTAGACTGCCTCAGTACTAGACTGATTGAGCAGTCACCCTTACCCTATTAGCAGTGATGCCTTCGTCCTGAGACATCTGAGCATCTAAGTCATGTACTCCTCACAGAAATTGAAGAAAAGAATGAGAATGTAGGGGCTGGGAAGGTGGCTCAGTGGTAGAGTGCTTGCCTAGCATGCATGAGGCCCTGGGTTCGATTCCTCGGCATCACATAAACATCAAAAGTCAGAAGTGGTGCTGTGGTTCAAGTGGTAGAGTGCTAGTCTTGAGCTGAAGAGCTGAGGGACAGTGCCCAGGCCCAGTGTTCAGGTCCCATAACCAACCAACCAAAAAAAAATATTAAAAAAAAAAAGAATGAGAATGTAAGCTGGGTGCTGGTAGCTCATGTTTGTATATTCTAGCTACTCAGGAGGCTGAGATCTGAGAATCACAGTTCAAAGCCAGCCCAGGCAAGGAAGTCCATGAGACATTTATCTCCAATTAACCACCAGAAAACTGGAAATGAAGCTGTATCTCAAAGTGGTAGATGTAAGCCTTGAGTAAAAAAGCTCAGAGACAGCACTCAGGCCCTGAGTTCAAGACCCACAACTGACAAAAGAAAAAGAAAGAAGAAAAAAAATGAGAATGTATGAAGAGGGGAATTGTGAGAAAAAGCAATCTTTTCTATCAAAACAAAATGTCCATCTTGTAATAAGTCACCATTCTGTACTGATATTTCCTGGCACTAATTTTTCCTGGAATTTACTTGCTTCTTTTTCCTTTCTTTTTTTTGTAGGTTGTAGGGCTTGTACTCAGGGCCTAGGTGCTGTCCCTGAGCTCTTCAGCTCAAGGTTAGCACTCTACCACTGGTGAGCCACAGAGCTACTTCCAGTTTTCTGGTGGTTAATTGAAGATAAGAGTCTCACGTACTTTCCTGCCTGGGCTGGCTTTGAACAGTGATCCTCAGATCTCAGCCTCCTGAGTAGCTAGGATTACAGGTGTGAGTACTGGCACCTGATTTACTTGCTTCTTGACTTTAAACTATACCAGTTGTGTTGTTTTTCATTAGTCAGCTATGTAAAGGGTAAGTTACTAACAGAGTT